CTCGCTCGAGGTCCATGGCGTTTGATGGTGCCTGTCCGTGAGCTAGGCTCATGCCACGGCACTCTAGCCCGGCGACAGAGCAGACTGTCTAAAATAATAATAATAAAATAAATATAAATCTTAGAAAAGATTACACAATGATTCAATTTAATTGACCAACTAAAAATGCATAGAAAGAATTAGGTGGGCATGGTGATCCATGCCTGTAGTCCCAGCTACTCTGGAGGCTGAGGCAGGAGGATTGCTCGAGCCCAGGAGTTTGAGGTTGCTGTGAGCTAGGCTGATGCCACGGCACTCTAGCCCGGGCAACAGAGCAAGACTGTCTAAAATAATAATAATAAAATAAAATAAATGTCTTAGAAAAGATTACACAATGATTCAATACTAAAATGAAAAGTTAGTCATGGTCTATGTAGAAAAGCTTCAAAAACTGAGCAGCAGGGTGTAAATTTGACACTGATAAAGCAAATATTTACGGTGAGCAGAGAATCACAGTTCCAAATTCTCTTGCAAAAAGACAAGCAAATGTTTTATTTGCTTGGAAAGAAAGATATCCACCCAGGGAGATGAAAAGTGCTGTTACATTTTGTTGCTGAGTGTCTATTTCATGCCAAGTAACACAACCAAGGACCGGCGACATGGCCAACGCTGTCTGAATGGAGTTCAAAGCCACAAGGGGACTGGTGTGACCAATCTACACATCATGGGCACATCTTTTTAAAGGTGTTTTGGGACTGTTTTACTGGTGGCACATTTTGCAACAGTCTTTTCTTGCCGGTACGTGAAATAGGATGTTTCTTGTAATCAACAGCTTCTTAGGTTTGATGAAATGTGGTTTCGATATTAGTAGAAAAGGACGCTGGTCAGACAACCTTAAGCCCTCATCTTCTAGAACAGGAAACGGGCCTCCAAGTTGCACGGCCACTGCTTGTCCTCGCTGGCGGGGTTCGAGCTCCCTGCCTGAGCTGGCGAGGTTTTAACTGTCCCCATTAGCTACGTTGGCTTGGAATTGGTCTGCTTGAAAACAGTGAAGTGGTTGATATGGGAAACTAAAAAATTGGAAGAAACACTGTGTGATGGGAAAAAAAATAAAAGCCAGCATATGCATGTAAAGCAAGCTCCAAAGCCATAAATATGTGCATGGAACATTTCCACGCAGGCTGGCAGTGTGTGGTTAGCAAGGCCTGGGAAGGAAGTTCCTACGCTATTCAGTTGGTCTGGAAACAGTCTTTTCCAAGGGAGCGGCCAGTAGTGCCCTTGACCGTGTGCTCTGCCAGAGAGCAGGAAATTAATATTTCAACAGGACACATGGCTGGCAAAGGCGCAGCCCTGGCTTTCGTGTGGGGACAGAGCAAATCCTACTGAAAGGAAGTGGCATCTCATTCTGCCGGCTCGTCCACGAAGAGGGCTAAGGTATTTTTAAAATATCCGAGTCCCAAGATGATACCCATTGAGAAACCACTGTTGTGGCACATTCCTGAGGTTCTAAAGATATATTTTTAGGGCAGGCGTGGTGGCTTACGCCTGTCATCCTAGCATTCTGTGAGGCCCGAAGCGGGAGGATTGCTCAAGGTCAGGAGTTCTAGACCAGCCTGAGTAAGAGCGAGACCCCGTCTCTACTAAAAATAGAAAGAAATTAATTGGACAACTAAAAACATATATAGAAAAAATTAGCCGGGCATGGTGGCGCATGCCTGTAGTCCCAGCTACTCGGGAGGCTGAGGCAGGAGGATCCCTTGAGCCCAGGAGTTTGAGGTTGCCGTGAGCTAGGCTGACGCCACGGCACTCACTCTAGCCTGGGCAACAGAGTGAGACTCTGTCTCACAAAAACACAAAAAAATATATTTTTGAGTCCAGGAAAGAAAATAAAATGGGTGATTAGCCTTCCCTTTGGCCTCACATCCCAGCTGTCCCTACACTGGCCAGGGAAGGTGCAGAATGTAGATTTAAACATTTGAATTTATAAGCTTTGTGTAAAACGGTTCAGCTAAAGCAACTCACACTGGTGTGATGTTAGCTTTCTCCAGCCTCTGAGCTCAGCTTGGATCTGAGGCACAGAGTGACCTTTGAAGGCAGAGCTTGCACTCACCAACTACCTCTTGTCGTGACTAACACTACCGTGTTTCCCCGAAAATAAGACCTACCCATACAATAAGCCCCAGCAGGATTTCTAAGCATGTGTGCAATAGAAGCCCTACCCCGAAAATCAGCCCTGGTGGTGGGCGTAGCTATGAAAATCAGCCCTAGTGACGGGCGTGGCTGCGCAGCGCATCTGCACAACCCATGTGTGTCGTCACGGAGCGGGAAAGAACACGAGCAGCTCTTCTCATCTGCCCCGTGAGAGCTCTAGTGCTCCACAGGAGAGATCGGGGCCAGTGGTTCTAAAGGAAATAGAGTCGCAAGACATTCAGGATGGGATCTGGGGTTTGGAGAGTGATGATGATGTTCCAGAAGAAGACGACTTCACTCTATTTGAATCAATGTAGATGGTTGTACCGTCCTTAAAAAAATAACA